CTGCCTCTCACTTAGCACACTTCCTATGCACTTACCCCTGCACCAGCTGGGCCATATTGTACACTATAACACGGCAATTTTCGCGGAAAGTTGATTTGCAGTCCTGGGAACTAAATGTGCGCGCTGATTACGTCACCGGAAGGACCAACCCGCTCGTCTGCCGGAAATGTAGGTGTGATTACTACTCTTACGGAGGGCAAGCCCACCATTAAATGGAAATAACACATCCAAGGGAAACAGAATCATTACTCTGTCCATAATACTTATTTCGGTCGCTTCTTTGGCAAAGATTTGTTCAATATTCAGCGTACCACACCAGTTTCGCAGGCACGCGTCGCGGCGGCAGCTAGCTGTATTACACCGAACGACTTGTTACACTCAATCTTTCCACATTTAATTGCAGGAGTTGTTTAAAGGTTTCTAGTGATGAGGCCTCAACAGTGCTTGGTGGCAACGCGTTCCACTCTACGATAGTCCTTGGAAAATACGAGTTTTGTAACAAGACCACAATTCTTGGTTGATAACTCTGATAGCTCTGTATTTGTCCAAAGAAAACAGCGTTTTCTGACATCAGCAGCCTTGCGTGTCCAGCATTCATTACCGTGGTTCTGATTTAGAGACTTACGTTTTTCAATCAGAAACAACCGCTTTAAAAGCTGCATTCAAGCCCCACGTCCCTCCGCCTTTATATTACACAATTTGTCTTCTGAAATTGCAATCAGTGAGCTCCGTACAGTAATAGAATAGTTTATGTCTCTGTAAGCCAGCTAACGACACACCGATAGCTTTTGTAGTTAAGATTGGTAGTTTATCGAGTTTTGCGCTTCCAGTGATTTCATTTCAGTAAGCTTTTCAGGTCTTGAAAAATGTGCTGCCCATGAAAAAGAAATACCTTTACTCGTGAAAACGAAATACCTTTACTATAACAACTGAAGTATCCATAATTGAGTTAACGCATGATTTCATTCCAAAAAGTAAATTGGTCCATTTCTTGATGGAAAATACGCCACATAACTATATACTTTATACATTTACTATTCAGAAATTAAGGTAGCTGTAAAAGTTAGTTTACATGCTCTGACCACATTTTACAGTGCGGTCACTTTTGCAACTTTTCCTCTATAGATCATTGAAAGAGGAAAACTTCTCCATTGATAGTTTTCATCTAATTCGCCAAAATTTGGAGCTGAAGTTACGTTTTACTTGAACTAGATCTGTATTTTAACTCCATGACTAGATATAATACTTTGGACTCACCACAGATTCACCATTGACTCACAGTTACCTTGTAAATGAAATACGTTGTGCTATCGCTGTGAAACATTGTATTTGTAAAAGAGTATGTCGCCTTATATATGTTAGCTAGCAGAGTATCCTGATTGTATAACACTGACCAAAATGTCAGCTACATCTAGCCACAACCGTTGGTCAAAACTATCTAATGATGATGACCCTCATGTACTTGGTGGTAGCAAGTTCCACTCTACGATAATTCTATGAAAAAAAATGCATTGTAACAATTTAATCCTAGGATGATAACTCTGATACTTGAAGGCATGACTTGTTCTTTTTAGAGTCACTTAAGTAGTTGCTACGTCCACCAGTTTATAACATGAATTGGGCCCGTCAGGTTCAGTCATGGATCACTTTTAAAATATAATCGTCTGCGAACACGCGTACTTGAAGTGACCTACCATAATCCACACGCGTACCATACATCTGGGAGTTCAAAGTCAAATTCCTTCAATCCATCAATTTCAAGCCAATCCTTCTTCATCGATCATTGTGCCTGTCCCCTGTTCCACACACCATCCCAGCGCACAGACGGACACGGTAAATAATCACTGATTACGACTTTACAAATCCTCTCCTGTCAGCTGTATCCATCAGTATATGACCCTTAGGGAGGAATAGTCCCTTAATATGTGCCGCGGTCATATGCTGTCATTTGTTCGGCGTTTAGCGTTTGATGTGTTAAGTACTCGGGGCTTGACTTTTCAAACATACGTTTCGGCTGACGAGACACTCAAAGTGCTGGCTTGACATTGGCCTCATGAATAAAATCTAGAACAATACTTTTATGACCTTTAGCATGGGTGGAAGAAAACTTACAATTTTCTGAACATTTTGGCCAGGGCGTTGGTGTTATGTGCATTTGGGATGACTTTCACAATTTCCACGTTAACCCCATAAATAGACTATGACTAAGTAAGCTTAAGATGGATAAGATAGCTTACATGGTCTCTAAACATTAGCCTTAAAAGCCATTTTAGACGACCTAAAGCTTTTAATGTGTTGGCCTTATTGATAGAAGAGAATAGAATATGATTGTTGAATATAATTTACAAAGTTTAAAACATACTGGCCATGACCTAAGAATATTTAACTCTCAAAGGTGTTTAACTTAAGGTTTGACCTTATTAATAGAAGATACCTAAGAAACGAGTACACTTGACATTGACATGGGTTGAAGTTAGAAGGTTTAAAATCCCTTGTTGACGATTCTAACTACACCAAGACCAAGTTCTGCTTATACATGTGATGAATTCGATGTACGAAACTGTAATTCATCTTCTATCTGTATATGTCAAGTGTAAACCTTTCCTAACATTTCATATCAATTATTGATAAGGTCAACCTCAAGTTAAAATTTCGAAAGTCATATCAAACGTCCGCAAGACCCATGTCTTGGCGTTAGTTATAAACTTTGTAAGTTATATTCTATTTATCAATGTCAATTTTAAATCTTTCTGAGGTATCTCCTAAAGTCAACCTCAAATTGAAAACTTGAAATGTCGTCTCAAATTTTCCTAAAACCAATGGCATGGCTATTATGTTCGGACAGTTCGTAAGTTATCATCTGTAAATCAAAGTCAAGTGCAGAACTTTTTAAGGTTAGAATTTAATTATAACGTCAACGTTAAGTTAAAATCTTTGAAATTCGTCTGAAATATCCCTAAACCGATGGCAATGACTAGTATGTTCAGAAACTTTTATCCATCAATGTTAAGTGTAAAGTTACAAAGTTTCAAGCATATCCACCCGTAAAGGCTTAGTATTCTGGCCTTGCGGTTAGGATTGTTGACATACGATATGTAACTATCAGGTCTCAATATTGCGCCCTTGGGAACTTTACACCAAATTCCCTACACGACTGAGGTGAACACGAGTAGGTACGAGTAGCTCTTACTCGTCTGTCAATATTCAACCTGACTGCGTTTAACTTTCAAGCTGAGAATCAGAGACACATGACCGTGCGGAAAGGATTTTCCGTGATTTTGTCCACCGCCTGCAGGGCGTGATTGATGAGATCGAGATTAATGACGGGGATTTTCTAACAGTGATCCCAGGATCAGTTTTTAATCCGGACTAATGACATGGTCGCCTATTTGATCCGCCCCTGTCACATCAGTGCTGAGGGTGACGGATGGTGTGATTATTTGTGTTCTGATTGTTTCTAGGAACCCTTCAGCGTGAAGGATGATGTGTATTAGGAGAAAATTGTGTGAAGATTTATGTGTGTATGTAGAACATTAAAACAGACCATTAGAACAGAACACAAGAACATTAGAACAGAACACAAGAACAGAACATTAGAACAGATCATTCTCAGAACATTAGAACAGATCATTGGAACTACTTACCTATTTGTACTTGTTAAGGTCATTGGAACAGGACACCAGAACAGAACATTAGAACAGAACATAAGAACAGATCATTAAAACAGAATATTAGAACAGATCATTGGAACAGAACATCGGAACAGAACAATAAAACAGAACATTAGAACATTAAAAAGTACAGTGTATAGTGCTCACAGGATCATTGTACCGGAGAAATTCTCCAAGAGTTTTTCTTCAACGAAGAGTGAACCGTGCCTGATGCTAGTCGTAACCCATTCAGGCATAAAACTAGATAGCCACGGTTGTGGATATGTACAACAGAAGACGACAGAATTCCGAGACACCGGTAACTACCGTATGTCCGGAAGAGTCGGAAATTACGCCGATGTCTGTTGTTTTGTCCTAACAAATCGTCCAATTATCCCAATAGGACTTTGAGGGTTTAGCGGCGACCAATGAGAAATGGACAACGGTCTGTCACATCCAGCAATCACCCTGTTGAAATCTCGTTTTTGGCTTTAATTGTAGAAAAATAATCGAAGTGATTACAACAAATCGCTATGGATGTTATCATGGCTCTGGAGCCAGACAGTGGGAATAGCGTCTGTTAATTGCTGTTCGATTTTTCGCTATTGCGTAGGAATTAAAGGCAACGCAGCGCTCTCTGTTGGTACTGGGTAAAGCCTAGTGAATAGTGGCTCTGCCTCTGGACCAAGAGGTTGGGAGTTTGAATCCCGGCTATTGCCGCTCCTCCGATCCGCCACGCTACTGGAAATGGCCTCAGTATTTACATGTAAGACTGCAGCCACTATATAGTAAGCTTCTGTTGTACCCAGAACCGTGCCTACTCGTATCTAGCTAGTTTTATGCCTGAATGGGATAGGGTACGCTAGATAGGGTTTTTCATCTCATCATTTCTTTGTATCCAACATTCGCAACCGTTTTCTCATCTTTGTTTCGTTCACTTACATGTAGCTATTAGTTCTTTGGCATCACGTATGATTTCTATAGGCTTTCGCAGATGTGCTTTTAAGTGTTGACCTTTACTGTTACAGCCCTTTTTTTATTCCAACATTTCATGACTGGACATGGTGACGGCACACTTAAGTTATATCAACTTATTTTATGCCATCACCAACGCAGATAGAGGACAAATACGGAACAGGACAATACTCATTTTCACTTGAGTTAAGTGAGGAACGTCGAGTAAAGTGCCTTTCCCAAGGGCATAAGATCGATGGCATGTCAGGACACGAACCCGGGACCTCTGGATTCCGAGTCGAGTACTCTGCCGCTACGCCACACGACACCACTATATGTTACAGCCCTTGAAACACTAATGACCAGCTAGCTAACGTCAACGTCACTTGAAACTGCTCATTTGTGGAGGAAGCTGAGTAAATGGATACTTGTCAGATTCCAAGTGCGTTTCAGTTTGTATCCTAATGATCCAACCACCACCTGTGCCCCGCGTAGGATAACTGTTGAGAATTATCGGGTAATGACTTTACGTGTTGTATTTCGACTTTCAACGTCAAGACAGCTGTCAAGTTCTGGTCTGACGTCATCACACAGGAAGCGACTGACGTCATTGATTCGGGGTGTTGATCAGAGTATCAGATTACGGTTTCAGTGACGTCATTAACGTTCTTATCAGGTTACATCAGGCTGGTGTTTTGATATGAGTTCCACTGCATCCTGACAACGTTTGATTTGGTATCTGTTGTATTCGTTGGTACTGCTAAAGCGCCATCTAGCTGTTTGAAAAAGAACCACAGGGGAGCATTCTAGTAGTGTTGTCTTCATCGTTTGCTACTGTCGCATCTATATGTCTTGTGTGATTTACATAAATACTTTTAGACAAAATGATTTAGAATTCTGGTCCCCCAAATAGTTGTTAATCTATCAATACTACTAATTGTGGCATCATTATGACTCGATACAAAGAGAACATGTTATCGGAGGGTTGAAGATTAGATACATTTGAAAAAGAAACAATAGTTTTCTTCAATAGTGGCTATTTTGTTATGGTTAAGGCTCAGAATTTGAATCTCCGAACTTCTGTTTCAGGCTTAGGTCTGCAGGCAATCGGCAAACGGTAAAAAAAACCCTTAAGGCTTTTGTTTACAACAGGGGCTAGATGGCCTGGTCAATAGGACAGAGTCCAACATGCACTCCCTTATCCAGTTAGTTACCCTAGAAACTTAGTAGGAAATTGCACTATCATGGCAATAGAGTATTGACTGGTCCTCTAATTGGCTGTTTGTAGTGTCGCTGATTTCTAGTTTGTGAATCTGTTCAGCCTTCCCAAGGTAGTTGGCCGCCGTGCAAGTGTAGCTCCCGGCATCCTCAGCGACAGCCGACCTGATGACGAGAGTTCCGTCGTCTTGTACGTCATATCCGGGATACTGGGTGAGGTGGGGGGAGATGACAAACCCTCTCGGGGTGGTCCAGAAGAGGTGGGATGTCGGACAGCTTAGCACTGTACACCTGGACAGACAAAAAAAGAAAAACCTTGCAAAATGTAAAAAAAAGTTATCCTGTCCCGACTGTTTGTTTGTCATCGAGACATCCCTATCAAAGTAGCTTTGATGCATGAATATGTCTTCCAATTTATTATCTACTATAAGAATCATATTCATATGAAATACTTGCTTCAGTTTGGCGGGTTGGCCGACGGCAGTCTTGTTGTCACTCCCCGAAGTGTCGACAGAGGGCGCCCCTTGATGCTCACAGTCACAGGTGAGGTTCGCCAGAGGGATGTCTCCAAGATTTTGACCTTTGTACTTTTCTGGGCCAGAGCAGTGAATATTGGTGATAACCGACTGACCGGGAACGTTGACTGCCTGTGAAAATGGTTTCATCTGACAGTCACAGTACCAAGGATTGCCCTGGTCCGCGTAGAGGTAGAACGGAAAGGCGCGGTCATATTTTAAGAGATCCCCCGGCAGCCATGTTAGATTGTTGTTGGTCACGTCGATAGAATGCACACCTTTTAGACCGTGGAACGCAGCAGGATCAATGACCGACAACTTTGCGTTGCTTAAGCGTAAGCTGGCGAGTGTTGTCAAGTTTCCAAACGACCAATCAGGGACGTGTACCAGTGGATTTCCTGAGAGGTCAAGTTGGGTCAAATTTGTGAAGGGACGAAGAGCTTTCTCGGGCACCTTGGCTAACATGTTATCGGCGAGTTGAAGATTAGACACGTTCGACACAGAAATAAAGTCGTTCTCTTCAAGAGTCGCTATCTTGTTATGGCTAAGGCTGAGGATTTGAATCTGCTTTACCGCATGAAGTGCCTGAGAGGGTACTTTGCTAAGCTCGTTGTTTTCTACCCTGAGTTCCACCAAACTGTGTAACCCGGCCAGCGCGTCAGGTGCAAGTCCGCCATGTTGGATTGCGGACACGTTCGAAATGTCCAGCTTCAAAAGGAAGCTCAGAGATGCGAATTGCCCACTGGGTAGGCTCTGTATGGGGTTATTGGATATGTCCAGAATCCTGGCATGTTTGATCACGTCCAGTCCTTCAGGTACGGACTGTAGTCGGTTATTACTTACTGAGATTTCTGTCAGTAGGGGCATACCATCAAACGACAGCTTGGTCAGACAATTGTTGTTCAAGTTCAGGGTTCCCAAAGATCGAAGATTCACCAATGCACCGCCCGTGTCTTCAAGTTCATTGTTGCTTAAATCGATTGAATTTAACATACCTAGGTCCTTAAAGTCATCCTCATCAAGGGAAACAATCGCATTTTCGTTAAGGGTGAGTGTCAGCAGATTTTTAAGCCCAAGCAAAGCACTGCGAACAGATGTTAGCATATTATGGTCTAGCATGAGAAAAAGCATCTCTGCTTGAGTTTCGAACGCGCGGGGCTCAACAGATTTTACCTGGCTGTTACTGAGATCCAAAGTCTGGAAGTTGGAGCTTCCGGTAAAAACTTTGGCACCAATATTGTCAATCCTATTCTTGCTGAGATCCACATCTAATAGGTTCTTCAGATTTGAGAAGGAACCAGGTTGTAGCTCCGACAGACCAGCGTTTTGGAGATCAACTTCCCTTAGATTTTTGTTTTGCGAAAAGAAACTGGCTGGGATCGTTTGGAATTTGTTATTCTCAGCAAGGAATCTGGTCAGGTTTTTGATATCTGACAGAATGAGAGGATCGACTTTGGTTAGAGACAACCCCGGGTTGCTTGACAGTGAGAGCAGGGACATGTTGGTGAGGCCTTCAAAAGCACCGGATTCTATGGTCGATATCTGATTCTGGTCCAGAATCAAACCTGTAGGAATGAAGCATAATGCCGTAGTCAATGTAAAACTTTCCCAATTGCCTTAACAACATAAGATACCAAGAATCTGAAACTTTACAATACCTGTTTGTTACTGATTTACCCAACTATCCCTTTTCCTCTTTTTAAAAACAAATCGTTTTGTACCAATAAGTTTGTGTAGCTTGCTGAAGACTCCTTTTGGTATGGTTGTGATCTTGGTTCCCTCTACATCTAGATACACTGCATTGGGTGGGATGTTCTTTGGAAAGTGCTGTTGAAAAATATGTAAAAAGCATCAGTGTTGTGGTCATATGATTCAACCAATTTGGCTCCATTGCCAGTAAGTACAGCAAGGAGCGACAGCAATAAACAATAAACTTGAGTAAACTGGACGAAGTCATTTGGACATCATTAATATTATATTGTTCTATTAGATTGGCTAGATAGCAGTGAAAAAGAAGAAGAGAGAAAAGAGTATGAGGTTCCAGTCACAAATAGACCATGTTACCTCAGAGATCATGCAACTCAATGCTTAGTGTTTATAATTTCCATAGATTAATGGTTGGTTCAAGAAAGGTGCCCACAAATCAAAAAGCCTGAAAGCCCATTCATTATGTAGGAATTATCAAAGTGTCAAACAGAACACAAGAAAGGAAGAAAGCCAACTAGAGAACTGGGATCCTCACATGCTGAAATTTTTACAAGCAAACATAACATCGTTCAAAGGGTCTTTGCAGTACCAGGGCCCGGTTCTGTGGAACCAATTTTCCAGATAGCAAAGACAGCTCCCAACTTTAACATCTTTCAAAGAATCTCTGTGAGAGGAAATTGCAGCTATCGACCTATATATGGACCTGAGTGGCAAATGTTTTACTATTGTAATGTATATTGAGTTGCGACTGTAATGTATATTCTTATTGTGTGTTTTCCCATGTATATTATGTATTTTATCCCAGAGATACCAGAAAAACATGTCAAAAGACCTGAGTGCACTCCTCTGGTAAAATAAATGAAATGAAATGAGAATGTACCGTCATATCCTCGCCACCACAGGCGATGCCGTGAGGTCCCAGCTCGCCACACTCGCACTCGGGAGGGCATGGGTACCGGACAGAGGAACAGGCAACGGCACACAGCAGGATGGTCAGCAGGACCTTCATCTGATGAGGAATGACATAAGGGTTGAAACAAGCATTTTTGTTAGACTGGCTTGTTCAAGCCCACTCGCTTGCCTAGTTCTAGAGTGATAGGCATCGATATTGGGGACACTGGGGTCACACATTCAACATATTGGCAGGCGGGCTACATTGCACAAATAACCAAACAAACAAACAAACATGCATAATTACCACAGGCGCACAAACACACATACACACACACAATGGCACACAAACACACATACAGTGGCACACACACACACACACACACATACAGGCACACATGGTTGTGTGCAAATACCATGCCTCTCACGCATGCATATGCGTTCTGAAAGCTGGGCAAATGCGATATTTCAAATAATCCACTGCATCTTACCTATTTTTAAGACGCTAAGCATGAGCTAAGAAACATAAATATTTCAATCTTCACTCAGAAGGAACAAGTTGCGACTGCAATAGCCACCAAATACAGCATATCACCCACCTTGTCGTGAATTGAAGATACCAAGGGTTTGCAGACACGAGACGTACTATTGCCTTGGACTTTGGTCGCCCAAATGTGCTCACGCAGATCGGCAAACACAACAATGTTTACCTTGCCACGATGTAAGTGACCCACAGGTCACTTATCACGGTAGTAGGTAATTAATAATTAAACAACTAGATCTATTGCTTACAAAACAGTTTTATCTATTAAAAGACATATAACGATTTAAAACAATTGAATCTATTGTAATATCATCATCTATGAACTCACAAAAGACGCGGAAACATATACCGAGTACAGTATAATTTATTCATTTGGTGCAAGAGACATATAAAATCCACAACGACATCTATCTACACTTGAGATCGCATATATACAGCATTGAATATCAAATACCCTTTACCGGTACAATATAGGTCTTGTCTAAGAAGACCTCACCGCACCCATATAACTTAAGAATGTACAAGAAAACATTAAAGACAATACTGTACAGTTACATCCAGAATATGTTAACAAGAAATGCTGCGTTTAAACAGTTTCAAGGCATTGAAATTATGGTTACGACATACATATATGGTTTGTTTTATCGTTTTTAAACTTTCTTGTTTACTTTTACACCATTTATATTATAAGATTCTTATTTGGGGAATGGTGGAACTAAAAGCTTGAATTATTCAATAGTATTGCATTACGTATCTGTACATAGTTAGTCGCACCAGAGTGTTACCGTCATATATGCATTTTTAGTCAAGTTTGGGTCATAATTTGAATATCGCCATGTCTCGCCATGTCTCGCGAGATCCTGTACACTCGCGGCTGTGTACAAGCAAGGGAAGAAAGTTCACAACGTAGTATTTGGAATTATTTGAAACAAATGCGTGCTAATAGGAAGAGACCTTTTACAAGCGGAATTAAAATTGCAAAATGTTGGGTTTGTGTCAACGAGTAAAGACTGAAAGTACGCAATGCGTCGATGCATGTTATACAACAAGGTAATGAGTTACACAAGACAAGAGTTACTCAAGGAACTGGATAGATTCCGAAAACTGTTTAATGTTTCAAGTAGCATCCACTTCTTTTGTAAATCACTGATGAAATGTAGTGGATATTACTTAAAACGTCTGACAGCTATTGAAATCTATCCAGTTGCTTGAGTAACTATTTTCTTGTGTTTAGCTCTGAATGTTTTACAGATATCGATAAAGACATAAAGTATAGACTGGTACTACTTATGGCAGTATCAAGTTAAATATACAAAATATCTCTGGACTAATTAAATATGCGAGTTGCCATGACAACCTATGACGTCTGTGTCCCGAACCACTTGACTAACCAATAGCCTGTCGGAAGGGTCTGGCATCCCATGTACCCATGCTTCAGCTCGTGGTCCGAATATGGCGGTATGACGTCACAGGGAGCGCCAAATATGGTAGTGTTGGCGACTCCCGGGGCGCCCTCCGCCATGTCGACTTGTGACGATATCCAGTAACGGGAGAACTACAGAAACATAAAAAAAAATATTTTCTTTTGAAAAATATGTAAAAGACGTAAAGAAATGGACATCTCAATTTACCATAACTCAGACATTTGCAATGGACATTCATTTTGCCATTTATCTATGGCGAAATTAAATTCGTAGCCTTTTGTACAGTAGATGTCGGATCAAGCAGTCATGCGTACTCTGCCGTGTGACTTTTCGCTTGTGTAGTTAAATATTTAACCGCTAGGTGGCATAAGGAAGCTGTGAGGGTTTCACCTTAGATGGCAAATGTTGGTAACGTGTTTTTTTTTTCGAAGTAGTAAGAAGTGAATGTAAATAGTAGTTATAATGTTTGTATTTTTTTCTATTTGTATATAAGAGGAATCCGGGAAGAGTAGTGAATGCATTGTATCAGGTTCTGTATCTGTATCTGTATAGCCAGTATAACCGCCTTTCGGCGTAACACACCAGCTTCGCAGGCACGCGGCGCGGCGGCAGCTGGCTATATTACACCGATCGACTTGTTACACCTAACCCCAGAACTTCTAGCTCTTTGTTTAAAGCTATCTAATGACAATGCCCCTACTGTACTTGGTGACAGCGAGTTCCACTCTGCGATACTTCTAGGAAAGAATGAATTCTTGAACACCTCAATCCTTGGTTGATAATGTTGGTACTTGAAGGCATGGCTATTTCTTGTTCTCTTCTGGGCTGGTATTAGGTACTTAGTAGTTGACTGATTGAAGGTTCCTTAAACAAATCAACAAACAAAAACAAACAAACAAACCTTGTGTATCCTGCCGACGCATTCTGTATGAGAAGCATTCACCCATCTCATGGTGAACTCGGTGTTCCACGAGTACTCGTTCGCCTTGCTACTGACGAACACGGCAACGTTCGTGTGTCTTCGGGACGCCCGAAGTTTGTCGACGAAGGAGCCCGAGTAGCTTTGGTCCACGAAGACGAGGACTCGTCGGGCCAAGCAGTTCTCAATGTCCTCTAGAAATTCTGACACCTTGTAAGACTCAGACTTTGAGGCCTGAAAAAGAGAGACCACGGAATTAAACAGGCTTCACAGTATAATTTCTAAGTAGATCCAACGGTGGCAAGACAGTATTCATTGGCCACCGAAGATCTGAGGATCTTTTGAAAAAGGGTGTCTTTGTCGGCTCGTTGCGCGGCTATCAACTGCAGTACGAAAACAAGAGTTTCACAATCTCATACCTTCGCCAAATGATGTTAACCCTTGCGGGTGACGAATTATACAATTTTAATCATTGATTTTGTAAATAAGAGCCTCATTTGCATGGATTATATCAGTTGATCATATTCTCCATCCAATGACAGCCTTATCATAAGAAAAAGGCTATTATAGCACTTCCTCATAAATTATGCAAATGAGGTGATGATTTGAATAAATTATGTTTATTGATGTTCACCTTCACTTAACTTCCAAATGTGGCAAGTATGAAATTTGGGGTGCAGCAGTTACAACTATGGAATTATAAGAATTTGCCATTAATTATGCAAATTAGGTCCTCATTTACATAATCTATATCTTCAGATGTTTTTCTCGTTCTCAAGTAGATGTCACAAGTGCTTCATAGTTCTATTATCGAACAAAGCAGATTTATAGAATTTCCTCATTAATTATGCAAATTAGCTCCCGATTTGCATAATTGCCATCTGATTATGTCAAGCATTCCTTCAGCTACCTACATACCAAAAATCACGACAATACGTCGACCGGTTCTTGAGTTATCGTCCTTCAATTTTTTTTCAACAAATGCTCCTGCAGTTCCAGAACAAACGGCTAGGGGGCCCAAACTCACGTCACTTCTTCCCTAGCCCAAGAGCTTTCTACCACCCAAAATTCGTGACCCTAGCATGTCCAGATCAGGAGATATCAAAACCGGAAGTTCTGCTGCAGTACCAAGGAAAGTCGCCAGGGGGCCCAAAATCTAATCATTTCTAGGTCTCATTAAGACCTACCCACCTACCAAGTTTCATTCCAATCCATCCACTGCTTCTCAAGTTATCTTGCTAAACCACACACACACACACAAACACACCCACACACAGACAAACGCTACTGAAAACATAACCTTCTTGGCGAAGGTAATTAGGGGGACTAATGGTCATAGGATATTGGCATTTTCTTTCACAACCAGTTAAGACTCTGACGGTGTCTGTCAGACACCTTCCTCAGACATGTCAGAGCTTCTGATTGGAGTTCTGCTTCTTGCCGCTATATAGCTCGCCGCTATACAGCTTGCCGCTATCTTGCCGCTATATAGCTCGCCGCTAGCTCGCCGCTATATGTAGCCCGCCGCTATATAGCTCGCTCGCCCAATGTATGTAGCCAGATTAAGTGAGAGTCTTCGCTGGTTTTGTAAAAGAAAATCCCAATAACCGTGTAAAAAGTCTTTCCTTAGTTTTCTATTGGCCCATCATTCGGTCTAAGTTGGTAGATTTTAACCCTGCTGTCTTTATGGGAGCTTTAGAGTTTCTTGAAGTTTTCGGAATCATTGATGATGATATTGTATTGAACATGTAATCACCAGACGTGGTGACGACACACTCAAGTTTCTTCAACTTATATTAATGCCGCCACCAACACAGGGGACAAATATATGACAGGACAATACTCATTTTCACCTGAGCTAAGTGTAAGTCGTGTCAAACGCCTTTCCCAAGGGCACAAGATCGGTGGCATGTCAGGACTCGAACCCGGGACTCTTAGTTCCGAGTCGCGCACTCTGCCGCTACGCACCCCACGACCCCACAGTAGTTTGCCTAAGACTGTAAGCAGGTGAGATAAATATCGTACCTGTCCGTCGCCATCTTTGTCCCAGAGTAGCATCTGCCCGTCGTTAGTAGCGGGACTGTTCAGGTAGATGACTAGCGTCTCCACACAGGTGGGGTGGCGGCAGGTGTTCACGATGTAGTTCCGGATGGACAGCTTGTGGGTGGCGGGGTACGCTTCTACAGGGGACTCTCCAACTGCGGAAAGACACGGGTCTTGTTAGTTCAGCTTAATGAGATTCAAATACAGATGGATACTAGCCTCTACTAGGCTTCAGAGGTTTTCAGAAGGAACTGAAAAGAGTACAATTTGGTCAAATAGACAGGCCTCTACAGGGGACTCTCCAACTACGGAAAGAAGTGAATCTAATGAGTTCAGATCAACATTAGCTTCAAATACAGAGGGATACTAGCCTCTTCCAGGCTTCAGGAGCAACTGGGAAGTACATATACAGATAGGCACCATCGGGGCTAAGAAAAGAAGCAAGCAAGTCTTGTTAATTAAGGTCAAGGAGCTTTTAGCAGGCTTCCGAAGAGTAGAATTTGGTCGAATAGACAGAAAGACTTCCACCGGCTGGAAAGAATAGCCAGATAACGACATAAAATTCACAGTCATATTTTAAGAAATCTTCAAAATTCCGGTAAGTATATGATGTATGATGTTAACAACGACTGCTGTGCTGACAGTTTCATACATCACATTAGCAGCAATGTCGATATCAAAATTATGATACACAATACACTGATCACAGGCTAAAAAAACTATGTGAGTTATAGCTGCAAAACACAAAGGCAGATTTAAAAAAAAAATGCATGATCTTCCCCGGGAGTAATGATAGTTTGTGCGATACAAATTGCCCTGCTATCCACTATCGTCAGTCGTATCAAATTTTCTCAGTCGTGTCCCCTACAAAAGTGCCGATTGGGCATCGAGTAACGATCAGCCTGCCCGGTATGTACATGTACATCTTGTACGCCTAGTCTCCACCAGACTTCTTTTGCGGGGTGAATAAATCGTAGAAATCGGCCTAAAAAGGGTATTAATTGGCCAGATAAGGTAGCCGGCAAGAGAAGCTCCATTTCCCCGCTCTTGCCGGCTATCTTCTCTGGCCAATTAATACCCTTTTTAGGCCGATTTCTACGATTTATTCACCCCGCAAAAGAAGTCTGGTGGAGACTAATGTACGAGGCAGATCGGCATTAGTGTTGCATAATTGGATCATTATCGGATTGCCATTTCAATCCCGTAAACAAAGGCAGACCGACACATGTCAGCACTCAATTAAACAGGCGGCCCGCGGGCGAGGATTCCCCGGCATGCTTTGGTGAATACTGGAAGGGGGAGGGGGGCGGTTTGACCTTTATTTCTGGGGATCGACACAGAGAATTTCATTTTCCTTACATGTTTCTACAAACCAGTTTTAATCAATCCTGCAGACTGCTAATTTTGTATAATCAACAAGAAGCGAGAGGAAACTGAAAATTCACTACACGGAGGTATTGGGTAGGGGGTCACTTTAATATTACATAGCACCTGCAACATTAGTATCGATACGACATCTTTGTTCGAACTGCTACGACTACTTTCAGGACATATTCGTCTCGAATGCGTCGTTTTATAGACATATACAAATCTAAAACTTTACATTTTAGTTGAGAGTCTGCAACAATCGTCCGTTCAACCAAGTCCCAATAGGCGACGGTATTAATCGCGTGTTTACAGACTTGTGTGGTGTTAATCCGCGAAAATGCGGCACAACATAGACGCTGGGGCTCTAAATAAAGTACTCTCCAAGCAGAGGTTTATGCTCTGCCTTCTCATTGGCATTTTTTCTAGAATTTTCTTTTTTGTAGTTGTATCTTTTTATAAAGTCTCCGAAGTTGTATCTTGTGTATGGCATTATTACACACAATAATATGCTATAACTAAGCCCATCATACATGGCTAATTTGATACTGTCTTGCCAATTTGATACTGTATTTAATTGCAGCCACAAAAAGATGTGCCTACAGATTAGTTGTAAAGCTCGGTACAGCAAAGCCCGGTAGTCAGCTGTAGGCCCCCCTCGGGCGGTTTGGGCGAGCCGTGTTTGTTTTTGTACTGATCCGAGGCCACAGGTGTTGGTTGGTGGGTCGGCAGATGCGAACTGCTCACGGATGAAAGGGTGTCGGGGGCCTTTTGAAATTCATCCTCTGGGAATCCGAAATAAGGAGAGGAACAAGAAAGAACCTAGCCTATGGCTAGAAATATTAATGACTAGAAAAATGAGTTAGATTTGATAAAGGAACATAACAATATTTTGGAACATATTCCAAAGCACTAAAGTTTTATATGAATGCCATGTGTAGGTATGTAGATTTTATCACACAATAATGTTATAACTAAGGCCATCACTACGGAGTTACATGTTATAACTAAGCCAAACATTACAAAATTACTGACGTATATAAATATACATTGCTTCGGTGATTATTACACAAAGAGTGACTCAGGAAAAATAGGTTAGCAAGCTGGAGAAGCTACAGTATTTTTCCCTTAAGTTTATTTACTACAATTGTGGTTACTCTACAAATACTGTGGCTTTACGCCTGAAAAGCACAACATCCACCCCCCCCCCCCCCGTGCGTTCGCGCATGGCGAGCACGGTCAGTCACCGCATCAAAACAAACACACCGCATCAGAGCAAACATCCCCGCTCTATTGATTCAACCCCTGCCCGCTGTATCGCCTTTCTACCCAGCCGTACTTGATCGTTTGGACGGGCGTTTGATCGCCAACGCAGGGGGGCAGTTCGGTTCTTCTTCGTTAGCGACAACCTTAAGCCTTTCTCAGAAATGCGTCTCTATTACCAAGTATATGTAGATGTATTGAACGTAGACTCCACTGCTCTAACACCAAGGGCTTAAATAGTATTGAGAACAGAAAAAAAAATTAGCCAAATAGGAAGAATACTATAGCTAGTAACTGGCCTCTACCAGGCTTCGGGAGGCGACTGAAAGAGTAGAAATTGGCCAAATAGAGAGATAACATGCCAGGGTCGGAGTTAGTCCTCACCAAGAGAACAGTTTGTTGGCAACCTGTACTCTCTAGCGGACCCTCCCTCGGCATGTTATCTCTCTTTTTGGCCAATTTCTGCGGATGATCAAACTAACGGTGGACCCACTGCCCTGGCCAGTCAGACCGTACTTTAGCCGAATTCTACTATCCTAACTCCCTTAGAAAGGCCTGGTGGAGGCTACACAAAAAGCGGAAAGCTCTTTGTTAGTAAATGATGTTTATACACGTGCTTAAATAATCACTCTGTAAAGGAAACGTTTATAGGAGATAAATCTTGCTAAAACACTCAAAAGGCTGTCCTGGAACAAAGATCACAAAGCGAAATCTGCATGTAACAAATCATTCTACCAAACACTTACATGTGTGTGTGTGTGTGTGTGTGTTTGTGCCAGGGGAGGGGGCGTTATTTTAAATGTCAAGTGTTTGGCCATATATATCGTTGGTATACTTCTTTGTTTCAACTCTACGTTTCTACTGTGCAAGGGTGGGTCGATTTTTATTTCAAAGAGCTGTTAAAAACGTTTATTGTACAGTAAAACAAAACGACTCGGCAAGTAATAGTGGATCAGACATACGTAAGGATCTTGACAGGATCGCATATACTCGTCATATCATACATTTTAGAGTTAGAGCTTGTCTTATTTTTCTATTCATCGTATTCCATTCATTGGTCTCGTATGCTAACGTTCATTTGCCTATAGCTATTTCCGTCTCGGTAGACGATGGATTTGGTCCCTGTATGTTAACGTCCAAATAGCAAGTAAGTACATATCATTGAACCCATCATTTGGGCGGTAAGACAGTTGTAAAAGACTGCATGTGTATACCCCATCCCTCTTGGTGATTATACTGACCGGTGCATGTCCTAGATTCCAGCGGTTACCCGTCGTGGAAGAGTGTGTTTATTATATCAAGGATACATCGGAACAAACCTGGGTGACTTACGATCAAAGGGAGACGTGTCTGTAAGAAGTAGCCGCCTTTCGTTTGCGTAACGCATTTGTAAACGTACCTTTTTATCCGCGACATGAAAGATAGCGTTTTGGCGACATGCTTCCCTGAAGTCCCTTTACTAGCGCGGCATGAAAGTTATACACGTCTTTACTTTGAAGGTTTGAGTACAGTTGATACAACACAGGAGCGCACATTGCCGCAATGTTTCTAGCTACAATCTCAGAAAAGCCTCGATACGTTAGAAGAAATTAGTATCTTTGTGATCTTGTTGTTTATGACGTTACGTTTGCTCAAGAAGCGCTGTCGGTAGACAGAAATCCAAAGCTCGGAAGTTTGTTGTGTATGTGGTAATTACACGACAGACACAGTGTCTATAAATGGTGTTTGTTGTGGGGAAAACTCTAAGTAGTCCGCCGACTGAAGACGATACCCTTAAAGAAACTGACCGGAGGAAGTGAGTAGGCCGAGGAACAACATTGGCGCAACGCTCGCTTAGTCTCGAAAGTAAACAAACCGGTTTGAGTCTTCTGTAGTGTGCTGTAGTAGTAAAGGTTTTTATTCAGCGCTGTGCAGATTGTACAGGCTAGCAGGGCCGTGGGAATTGGGCCTGACTGCTTGTATATTCACACTTTCTTCACACAGTTTATCAGTATTACTTTACTGGAAATTTAACTTGAATCATTCGCCACAGGTATTACTAATTAAGAACATGATTCTATTTTAATACATAGAATAAAGGACGTTATTAGAGGATCTGGTAGCAGTGTTCTAATATATTGTGTAATGGGAATAAGGCTTGACGCCCTCTCCTACACAAAACCCGGGGTTTGCCTAGTCTCTTCCAGACTAACAACGCGTGTTCAAAAGAAAGTCTAAATTTAGCCAATAGGGAGAATAATTGACTCATTGACTAGAGGAGTTCAGCCAGCGTAGAGTTCATTCGCCCGCGAAGCTTCAGAGGGGGAAATTAACCCTCTCGTGGACTGACTCTTCTGGCCAACTATTTCCATTTTTGTATCGAATTCTAGGACCCGTTACCCCGTAGGAAGGCCTGGTGGAGGCTAAGGTTTTTACTAGCCTCTATCAGACTTCGAGAGACGGCCGGAAAGAGTAGACATTGGCCAAATAGAGAGATAACATGCCGAGGGAGTGAGACATGATGTAATAGAGAGATAACTCCCCCGGCATGTTATCTCTATCTATTTGGCCAATTTCTACTCTCTCTTTCCAGCCGCCTCCCGAAGCCTGGTAGAGGCTACTCCGTCCCGACACTTCAGCCAAAGTGGCGCGTGTTCCAACAACAAACGCCGGGCGACTTGAAAGCCCGGCGTCTTGTCCTGAGTCGAGACAGCCTCGCCACGTCTTCCAAGACGACAGCTGGGATCCTTCCCGGAGAAGACAAGTGAAGGGGGGAATGTTAAGGAGGCGTTGTACTTCAATAGGCGATGTTGATGGTCTGCCAAACGCCGGGCTTTGATGCTGGTAACGCGGGAAGCGGCTGTCGACCGCGACTCTATTGCCACGGAGAAGTGCCTCTGGCGTCGTTGAGGGAAGGGTTCTTGCTCTCCAAGCAGAGGTTCGGGTTTTGGCGTATTCATGGCATTTTTAATGCCTTTTTATCGGGCTTTGGTTTTTTGTACTGGGATCTTTTTGTGCCAACCTCAAATAAAGATACATTTTGTACCAGTACAAAAACAATGCCCCCCCCCCAAAAAAAAAGCCTAAAAAGCCAAAGCCCAAACCTCTGCTTGCAGAGTAGTCGAGCTATTGCGACAGAGAAGTGCCCTTGGCGTCGTTTCTCACCACACGTGGGTCTCATTACAGACTAAAACTCCTCACAAGTACACGGAATGTTGATGAGAAGTTTCCTCTCGACATAACGCGTTAAATCTAGCTCTCTCACAAACTCTTTCAACCGGTGTGTTGTTACCCTAAATTCGAAGAGTCTTGGTATTACACAGTTTTCTTGTCTTACCATACCAAGACTATAAATAAAAGGATATTGAATTGTATTAACCATCTACAGTACTAGTATTACGGAATTACGTGGTGGCATTTTTACTGGACACACTTTTCACATGAATGAGAGTTGAATTACCGATGACATAGGGTTCATAAAACTTCATATGTTTATAAATAAAATCAAAAACCCACAAAAATCGCTCTGATAAATCAGGGGGGCGGACTGATATGCGTCATAAACATTGCGAGTCGTCCAATATTCACACTTGCATCCAAAACATAACGTATCCTACCGCCACTGTACTCAACTGGGACTACTTTGTGTCGAGATCCTCTTTCGTCCACGACACAGTAGGCTTATTTCGGGGTGTAGTATTTGTGCAATGCTTTCATAGACACCGCCATTTTCCCACAACCACCACCCGACACCGACAATGGTTTAGGTTTGTTATTACTTCCTAAACCACTGAGGATATGTATTAGGTTAACGTTTAGTTGCTTCCTCAGCGAATTAGAGTGTCTTCTATATCGTCGTAGGTTTCTCTTATTGATCGATGATCAGTATAGCTATCTAGTGTGACAGTGGCGAGTTTATTGGCGCTACCAACTGATGCGACCGACGGGTCTAGACCTTTTAGCCGAATCGTTAGAGCGTCGGGGTCTACAAAGCCCGGCTTTGGCGTGGGTTCGATCCCCGCCCTGGGACCAGGAGTGTATTTCTGTTTCTACTCTCCAAATTCTTACATTTGTATGTGGTTTGGACCTCTGCTTGGCGAGTAAAAAGTATCCACATGTTCTTAGCTATACGCCCTAATACCAAGGAGGCTAAAAATCAAAGAATTTAAAGCTCCTTGCTAATAGACCGCCCCCCACCCCAAATACTTCTCCACCCACCACTGTTGAAAGCGATTCCCAATGTATCCTCATTAGCTGCCTTATGCTTCATTAACTTTGAAGAACTTTATTTAGGCTTAAGGAAACATCTTGTGTTTCCTGTTTCAGTCCTGAAAAAATTAAGGTCGGTAGGTTGGGATTTTCTTTCTTCTTTTTTTAGAATTTGGCGATCACTAATGAACCAAGTTGAACTTATACAATGCAGTTTAGCAAAGTAAAACTTGCATGAGGACACTTATATGGTCAATGTCAATGTTGGAAAACCAATTGTACAACGTTTCATCACTCACATGTCAGATCATGAAGCTAGTATTTCACTAGTTCAAAATTATGTCTCTTGCAGGGGGTCCACACACAAAAAAGCTAGGGTCTGCAGTTTTTTCTAGGGTCGGTCTGGAAAAGGGAAACACAACATTTTTTCTAGGGTCCGTCAGGAAACGGGAAACACAACATTTTCCATAGGCCTTAGGCTCATTGCGACCTTCACAAAACAGGATATCTCTAATTCGGCAATTCCGCAGTACCAGGCCCTGGTGGGTGTTTGTGGCTGACCTGCGGGGGAAGTCAACTAGTAAAGACGCTCAGATTCTTAACTTACTCCCCGCCAGGACTCCTAACAACTTCCTCTTTGTTGGAAGTTAAAACTTTCGATCCAAAATTGTCACTCTGGTCTTCCTCAGTAGACTGACCCAGTGAGACTTGTCACGTGGCTTCTTTGAAGTGTACTGAGGAAGACCAGAGTGACTGGTAGAAAGCTTTAGGTGAGAGAACTTCATTGTGTTGGATCCAAAGTTTTAACTTAAAACATGTAACCACTAACACAGATTAACTTTCATGATAACTTCCTCTTTGAATACTTCTCACAGAGCAAGGCGCCAACCTTCTTGTCTTGTTTTGAGAAAGATATGCGCTGAAGGAAGTCATTTCTTTGTTGCGTAGAAAACAGTTACTGGAAACGTCAATGAAGGTTAGACATCCATGTAAAGAGGTACACAAGAAACCTGTTACTCCAACAACGGGCAAACCTTTCAAGGAACATCCACTATTTGTCGTCATTGGCTACTTTTCCTCTATAGATGAAAAGTAGTCACTGACGAAAAAAGTAGTGGATGCTACTTGAAACATCTGACAGTTTTCTTTTTGTTTTTACATCTGTCCAGTTGCTTGAGGAGCTGTTTTCTTATGAGGGCAGTTACTGTTTTTTTCCGAGAGATCAAAAGTACATCCAGGGTATATCACAAGGCTCAGATTGTTGACGGTCTCACCAGGCAGGGATGTAGGGGACCTAGGGGGGTGTTGTTGAGGGTGCTCCCCGACATCTCTGGCAGACGATCTCGCGCCAGAATTAGCAGACGACGGGCGCCTGTGCCTAATGATGCTGTAATGTCCCAAATTCGTCCTCCCTGTTCTCCTTCCCAGTGTGCTATGAGCCAGGTCAATTGTATCTATAGGTTCTCGGATTCTTTTCCAGAAAAAAAAGAAGCGACAGTGCTAAAGAAAAATGAAAACAGACCTAAGCATCCTCTTATAGCCCCAAACGTTGCAATGAGATGAACATACCAGGCTGGTTTATGCTTCAATGAATTTTAACCAATTCAAACCAATGCATTGACATATGGATAAACTGTAACAACTGAGAATGCCAAAATATTAGCATTGTGGAGTTGATTCAAAACCTGAAGCCTTTTCTTTTTGCAAATCAGAAGAAAAAAATAAGCAGGTGAATTGGAAAACCAATTCAGAACCTGACTCCTTTTCTTTTGTAAATCAGAAAAAAAACATTAAGCAGGTAAATACGAGAACCAATTGATCAAATTGGTGTGGCCTAAGTTGTAAGAGCCAGACTTCTGTCTGCTCTAGCAGAGTGCCCCTGGAGGAGACTACGCATGTATCTGTATGTATCGTTTGGTCCGTGGCGTCGTCTGGCCACGTGGCCACAGCCGAAACCCGCGGGGACTTGTTTTTAAAGACATTCCGACACTTCAACTGGATTTTTTCGCGCGTACGAAAAACAGCAATTTGCGAGAAGAAAACTTGTTCTTCGCACATTACCTATGACAGATGCCGCACGTTTCTGATAACAGAAGCACCGTCTAAAACACAAATCTTCTGGCGTGAATAGTCCAGTGGTTAGCGACCCTGCCTCGGTCATGTATTAGAGGTTGGGAGTTCGAATCCTGGCTGTTGTCGCTCACTCGACATGCACGCTACTGCAAAGGGTTGCAGTCCTTAGGACGGGACATTAAATGGGAAATGTCAGGAGAAGGAGGCGGAGGAGAAGACACATGAGAGAACACAATAAAACGAACTTACGGTCGATGTCGCCATCACTGCCGTAGAACGTCATGATGCTGCTCCGTTTGAAGCCGTAGCGCCGCAGCATGCCGTACCACGCCTTCACCGCAGCCTCCCTCTGCTGGTCTCGGCCCACCTGAGGGTTCCACCCGCTTCCTACGATCACAGCTCGATCGCACGTCTCCCACGGGCGACAGAACCCTCGCAATGCGCCCTCCCCGCGACGGAACTTCTCGCATCTTCTCGTGTTCTCCGTGAGCTCGCACCGCGGGATTTCGTAGCGATCCACGCCGGATTGGGGAGGGCAGGGCGCGAAGCCGTCGATGTGGTCCAGGCAGCGGAGTTGCTGCTTTTTCTCCGGGTCGTTCACGAGCCGGACCTTCGGGAGGAAGTTGATCTCGCACCGCCGGGCGAAGTTTCTTCTCCGCAGGTTCCGCTGCAGGGCGTTTCTGCATCTGTTCTTCAGCGATAGCGTCAAACATTCCCTGTCTCCTGTTGGAAAAAATAAATGCAAAGTGTTAGCATTTAATCTCATCAACATCATCATCTGGATTCCAATAAATAACAATATACCGAAATCACAGAAATCCGTCAAATCCGGGAGTAGGGAACATTGTTATTGACTTTACCAAAGTAATATATACATACATACACAATGAGTTTTGTTTTACCTAAGTAAGTAAACAATAAAATTTAAACACATCAAAACTTCATAATAACAATGACAATGATGTTTATTGCATATTTATGCCCTTCCGGGCTAAATGCATTGGATGACATAACATATTGGATGATACTAGTTACTAGTACATAGGGAATTGTATAAGAAGAAAAAACAAAACAAAACAAAACAAACAGCTACTGTATACTATAATTCATCTAACTCTAAAGCAAACATTTTATAATCTTTGAGACGTTCTTCAGGATAAATGACCCACTGATTTGTCAGCTCACGTGATTGTAAGGCAGCCTTTTCCATGACGATAGAGCTGTTAGTGTTATACATTTTGAACAAAACACACATGGCTGTCCCAAGAACGCCCTACGTGAGTCCTTACTGAACATTACGCATGGATACAGTACTGTATTTACAAAGTCGACCCTGTGAAAGCCATGTTTTGTGTATGTTGAATGGCGCCATGCCGTGAGCTCACGTCCATGTTGTTATAGCGTTGTCCCGCAGTAGGGGTATGTTATGATGGCTCAAGACGAAGCCGGATATTACTTTAACTTCAAATAAACAAGCGAGAATCCACATCTTACACTTCGCGTGTGGAAGGGAAGAATAGTATAGATCTCCAAGCAAATATTGCCATTTTTTACTGATTTATGTGCCAAGGGCACGCACAGTGGAGTACTACACTAATGTTTGTCTGTGTTTACAATTCCATTTCAGAACATAAACTAAACAAGAAAGACAAGAATATACAAAAAGTTCTGCTGTAGTTCAAAGGAAAACCACCACGAGGCCTAAATCGACCTTGACCTTTGTCTTCCTAAGGCCTACCAATATACATGTAAATTTATTTTCACCACAATCTATCCGTAGCTTCTTGAGTTAAGTTTACACATGTATGTGAAAACAAACACACACATACATGCACACACACACATATACGACATAACAAAAATAAGGTACAATGTAATAAAATCATATTAACGTGGTACCGGGCTTGACTGTTTGTCATATGTAGCACTTCATCGCATTTACAGGGACAAAACACAGATTCAGAGACTATCCCTAGTTTATAAACACTTGTCGGAAAACTTCAAACAAATTTACAAAGCAATATCAACTTCCTTTTGTTAACAAAGCTTCCAATGTTCCACTGTGTTGCTTTTTCAATAAGTAGAATTTACGGATAGAATTCTTCAAACAATGAGGAACAATAGCAGGTTTGCGAAGATATTACGCCCTGTTTAAACTGTTGACAATTCCATTGTTCCGAAAATTCCACCCGAAGTGAGGTATGACCTTTGTGTATTGCTGAAAACCCCGTAACAATCCACCCAGCTCTCAGAGCGTGCGTAAATGTGTAATGAACTGTACTTCCCTTTAAAGCTACGTAACACAAAGTATTGCCGCTATACAAAGCGGCATTGTTAACATGTTAGCATCTTCCCGGTAAAGTAAAGCTCTGCAAAATATCCAAGAGGCAGAAAATAAAATAAAATGTAGCCTACGTTCTGATATCACCCAAGTATGAAATTTTATTTCGCCTGGACATGCACGATTTCGATAGCAGTTTTTTTTTTGCCCAGTCTTCGTTTTCGTATACGCAATTTTGACAGTTACAGGTACTCGTACACCAGCTATATAGGTAAGAATCTGTACCTTAATAATTTTACAGGTACAGGTACACAAGATATACAGCTCGGGCCCTGGACCTAAACACGTTTACAGGTACAGGAACGGGTACATGTGTTTAATTACCTACATGTACACAGCCCTGTACCTGTATCTGTACGGATAGACAGGTACAGGTACAGGTACAGTACAGTCCCAGTGTTTGAAGTTTTCGCGGCGTTATGAAAGGGTTGTTCCTCAGTGACCTGTGGTGTCACAGTTAAGTACGGCGGGCGAGCTGGTGCCAGCATCAAAAGTATCGGTTTCAGAGTCGTGGCTAAGCGAGCATGTCCTCTCCACTGGTGCGGGAAGTAAGGGCTGGAACACCGGCCGTATTCTTCTTCTCTCAGTCCCGTACCTGTTCGGGACAACTAAAGCAGTTCGTTGTTTTACGTCACCTAGTGTGGAATATAATGTGGGGTCGTGTGGCGTAGTGGTAGCATGTTCGGGCCCAAGAGGTCCCGGGTTCGAATCCTGCCAAGTGTCACCGATCTTGTGCCCTTGGGAAAGGCACTTAACACGACTATCATCACTTCACTCATGTGTAAATGACTACCTAGCTTCGGTTAGGGACGTCCCTCGGATAGGACAAAACTTTCCACTATAACCTGGATGCACTGTGTCATAAAGGTATCCTAAAACTACTTGATTCCAACTCCACAGTCGTACATGTAGTTAGATGCAGTGCAAACGTGTTACTATATTTGCAGAGCCTAATCTGTAGCTCCACGGTCCGAGTAGGCTGAAAACTCCGGTTACCACCGAAGCGATGTGCCCCTGTTGTCCGCCTAATCCCCTGACATAACGGAGTCCTGTGTGTCCAGTCATGTTTGGTCCTGTCAACGCGTTATTCAACCCTACAACACACACTCTTTCATGTTCTCTTTGCTGTGTAAACAGCAGATTATTTGAAGACGACCGATTCACGCCGTGGTGGACCGGAGATGGGCGGGAGGGGACAGACCGGGAGGGGGAGGGGCGGGAGCAGTCGGGGAGGGGGCTTAAGAGTCGTGTTGGTTTTAGAACGGTAAAGCCTTTACACGTGTTAGGGGGTAGGGCAAACATCCTTTCAGGGCAGCCCAACAAAGCCTTTTCTATCTAACTATGGGTGAAAACGGAAGATACACACAATAGTTATAGATAGTAAATCTGTATAGCCGGTATAACCGCCCTTCGGCGTGACACACCAGCCTCTGTATCTGTATAGCCGGTATAACCGCCCTTCTGTGTAACACACCAGCTTCTGTATCTGTATAGCCGGTATAACCGCCCTTCTGTGTAAAACACCAGCTTCTATCTGTATAGCCGGTATAACCGTCCATCGGTGTAACACACCAGCTTCTGTATCTGTATAGCCGGTATAACCGCCCTTCCGCGTAACACACCAGCTTCTGTATCTGTATAGCCGGTATAACCGCCCTTCGGCGTAACACACCAGCTTCTGTATCTGTATAGCCGGTATAACTGCCCTTCGGCGTAACACACCAGCTTCTGTATCTGTATAGTCGGTATAAATGCCCTTCGGCGTAACACACCAGCTTCGTGGCTTCGCAGGCACGCGGCGCGGCAGCTGGCTATATTACACCGAACGACCTGTTACACCTACCTAAGTTAACTCTAAACATTGTTTGAAGCTATCTCTAGATTGGTTCTGTACCATTTCCAGTTTATCTTCGTCTGTTTTTTACATACTGCTGAGTTTTTTCTTCATCACAATTTTTTACAATACAATACAAAACGTCAGACTCAAGCCGCTCGGTGAAGATGTCATCCATATATAATCAAATCAACTTCGAACAAGCAGTCAGGACAGAGGGAACGTTTTTGTGCTGCTGGTGACCTAATATGGAGGGAAGTCGCGTTGAAAAGCTCCCGCCGACCGACGTAATCACACGGACAAACACCGGAAATGAGAGGAGAGAGTGAAATGTATACAGATTACCGCATCATGCGTCTGGACAGGAGCCAATAATTAGCCTCTACCAGGCTTTAGGGGCTGCTGGAAAGAGTAGATATGGGCTAAATAGACGAGAATGGGAGCTTAAATTGTCTGGGAAGAATGTTTGAGGACTACATTTTTAGCCTTGACAGGAGCCAATAATTAGCCTCTACCAGGCTTCAGAGGCGACTGGAAGAATAGTAATTGGCCAAATAGACAGGTAACATGCCGTGGGAGTTGGCTCGCTAACGGTTTGCCTTTTATCTGTTTAATTGGCCAGTTTTTAGTTTCTTTTCGGATCAACGGTAAGGGCGATGGTATCCTTCAAACATCAAAGCAATCTGTTTTCATTCTCTACTAGTACTAGTTATAGTACTAGTTATAGTAGAGTACAATTTTCACTCTACCATTGACCTAACTATTAATTGCCAAGCTCTTATTATTGACGGAAGTACTATTTGCGATGGGCAAGCATGATGAGCCTGAATAACTGCTGTAAAATGAGGTGTGTCTACAATAGATACCTGTTGGTCTTCAAATACCACACGGTTCCATGGAATGTTTAACAAAAGGCAGCTTAAAAACCAGCAAAGATTTTGAGCCTACATGTACTGCTGATTTAGAAGTGGTAACGCAGAACCCTCCTGTGTTATGGGAAAGACTGGGTCATATTTGATCTAGGATTATCTTTGTTTTTATTCACCTGGTCGAGCCTAGCTCACGGGAACTATGTACACACCATACCGCAACACTCTTTTACTTTTACTAATATGATTGTTGTCATACTTTTGAGGATAATCGCTCAAATTTCTCAAATACGCGCTCTCTTACGCTTTGGACGACAAGAACATACTATTCCAATATTAGCCTAAATTTAGTCTAATATCAGTAGCCCCTTTACATGAAATTTGTTCTACAGACATTGGATAAACATCGTCACACACTTTTGCATAAGGGTCAGTGACCTGATAAAAAGAAAGTCTTCAGTATCTGCAAGAACCCCCCTCCCCCCAAGCGACAAGGTAACAGAATTTTGATCCACCTATGCACCATGTAACAACTGCTAAAGGTTTGTTTTTATGATATTAGTACCTGACAGCAGGGATGAGACTCCCTGAATTGCAAAGAGTTTGCGTACAAAATTACAAATTATAACAGACAAGACAGGCAGAGGTATACAGAAGTATTGTCGCGAAATGTTGACTC